GCAATGGCAGACCGTGCGAGCTTCAGCGATGAGCATACTCCTCGCACCCCAACGCGACAGGTTGGTGTGTGTTGTGTGTGTGTGTGCCTATGTTTGTCGTGTGTGTGTGTGTGTATGACTATGTTTGTCGTTGTGTGTGTGCGCGCGCGTGTGTGTCTATGTTTGTCGGTGTGTGTGTTTGTGACTGCAAGAGGGTGTAGTTAAAGAGCTGACGTTGTGCGCTGTGGTTGATTCTTTTCCTCGTTTGCCAGACATCGTCAAAGCTGTCGAAGGTGCTTGGATACTCGCCGGGCGAGACTGAGACAGATTCCCTCCCAACATCACCAGCCAGCAGAGGGCGCGATTCAGGTTCGTTGGCGGCGGGCTCGTGCACACCCCTTGCGGTTTTGGTGACTGTGTGGGTGTATCTGTGTCGTGTGGAGGAGGAGGAAACCTGGTGGAAGAAACTGGTGGAAGGATGAATGCATGCATGAGCGAATGTGGGCGTGCACGAACATGGGTGCATGGCCGTGTTATTTGTGGGCCTCCCTGCTGGTTGCAGCACACATCTCACCCTGCCTCCCCCGGCATTCGACCATTTGGTTCAAACACACACAGGAGCGCGACCATCTGATGCAGACCAAATCATGGATTTATTGGATAAGGTGCATGTTTGAGAACGCCATGCGTGGGCGTGTATGCTGCTGCTGTGTGTGTGTGTGTGTGTGTGTGTGTATGACGATGTGTGTGTGTGTGTGTTGTGAATAGGTTCTCGTCAACAGCAACATGCTTCCATTTCTTTGCGCACTTCAAACAATACCAACACACACACACACACTCACACGCACACACACACACACACGCATCCATACATACATACATACATACATACATACATACATACATACATACATACATACATACATACATACATACATACATACATACATACATACATACATACATACATACATACATACATACATACATACATACATACCCATCGTGGCAGGCGCAGAGCACGCGGCTGGATCGGCAGCGGTCAACACAACAGCCCATCCTCAACCTCGACATGAGCCCAGGGAGTGCGTCAACCCGCCCACCGGCGTCACCATCATCAACGTCGCTGTCACAGTCGCAGACACCACGGGCACGCTCGTCCTCGTTTGGCATCAAGGGCCGCTTTACTCGCACCCACTCCGAGTCTGCCTCATCGTCGTCGTCGTTGCTGTCACCGTCCAAGCGCAAGCTGTCGCACTCGGCAAAGAAGGCGCGCAGCAAGCACCGCGGTAGTGGCGGCGGTGATGGTGATGGGGGTGATGGCAGCAGCATGGGCAGCAGCCGCAGCTCAGTCGTGTCTGCAGGCCGTGGCAGTGTTCACAGCAATGGTGATGGCGAGGACAACAGCAACAGCAACACCAACACCAACAGCAACAGTGCGTTCAGCACGCCATCGCACAGCGCCCGGAGCAGCAAGGGTCGAACGTGGTCGTGGCGAGAGAAGCTGCCATCATCGCCGTTTGGTGGCAGTCACTCCATCGCCACCAGCAGCGAAACGCTACAGCAGCGCCTGGCTGCTGCTGCCCGCACCACAGATGATGATGGTGATGATGATGATGGCGGTGGTCATGGTGGTGGCGGTGGCGGTGATATCTATGACAACCTCCTTGCAGCAGCGGACTTTGGTGGCGATGGTGTTGGCGATGATGATGACGATGATGTTGATGACGGCGACACCCACGGTGTCGGGGCGAGCGCTGGTGGTGGTGAGCGGGGTGCTACTCGCGTGATTCGTGGATCGAAGGATGAACACACGACCAACACCACGGTCACCGACATCAACATGGACAACACTGGTGGTGGTGGTGGTGGTGGCGTTGGCGATGTTGACGTGACGCCAACACGCGATGGAGCCGCGGGAGGAGGAGGAGGCGAGACGATGACACGCGGACGAACGCTTTCAGCAAGCGAACCATCGGCAGAGTACAAGCAGCGGCGGCAGCAGCAGCAGCAACAGCAGCAGCATCGCCCGTCCATGGCATCTGTCGTGTCAAGCACGTCAACCACGTCTGCGTCGTTGCGTGCAAGCACGGCCGGCGGTGGGGGCGGTTCCCGTGCTGTGGACCTTCGCGCCGTGTGCACATTTTACGAGGAGGTGGAAGATGTGTCCGCTCTGCCGCCCGCACACCGCGCGGACATTAGCGAAACCAGCACGAGCAGCGCACGCGTGAGCGACAGCGGCAACAGTCTGGTTGCGCCATCGGACAAGTGGATGCTTGAAACACGTGGATCATCCCAGGACAGGCCAACGCGGCACTGGCAGCTTGGTTTGGACATTTTCGGGTTTCAGTCGCCAGACCCAAACGCAACATTCTTCCGGCAGCATTTTTACAAGCAAGGTGATGACATGACGCGCACACACGTTTGTACACAGGACAATCGATGCTGCTGCTGTGGGTGTGCATGTGCATGTGGATTGTGTGTGTGTGTGTGGATTGTGCGTTTGTGTGATGCTCATGTGCTTGTATCTGTTGCTAACGCTGAACACATTCACACATTCACACACACACACACACACATTAACACACACATTAACACACACACACACTAACACACACACACACACATAAACACACATTAACACACACATAAACACACGTATCCACACTGCAGACCACCAAACGCTGCTTGCGCAGGATGAGGGCGAGGGCGACGTGATTGTGTCGTTTAGGCGTGAGATTGCACGCGAGCCAGACAGCGGGCAGTCCCAATATCGCATCATCTACAGATCGTCAAAGGTATGGATGAGCACGTGCAAACGACACTAGTGTGTGTTGTGTGTGATATGTATGATGTGTGTGTGTGTGTGCGCTCGCATGAAGGTTGTTGAGTACACTGCACGCAATCGCGCCACGAACACTCAACCACCACCAACTCACATCCCCCTATCGACCAACCTTGTGCAGTATGGCACGGAGCGGCTGGTGCTTCCCGCGTCGTCCATCCCCAATGTTGACGGTGCGGCGTGCATGAAGGAGGTGGCACGAGCACTGTATCCGCAGCTCAAGTCGTCATCGCTCCGCTTGGCGCAGGTCTCGGACCAGCTTCTGGATGACATTCTCTCCCTCGACGAGTGTGCGGTGCGTTGATGCCTGCAGGCAACACAAGGAGTTGTGTGTGTGTGTGTATGCGTGTGTGCGTGTGTGCGTGTGTGTGTATGTGTGTGTGTGTGTGTTTGTTGTTTGGGGGGGGGAGGAATAGGTCTTTTTTCACCGTGTGTGCGGCACGAGTGTAGTCATTACAACTTGCAGGTGGCTTCAAGCCCCTTGCTCTCACACAAGCGCCCATGCACATAGTGCACAACAACACCAACAACGAACTCACCTCCCCCTTCCCTCCCTCTCTGTCACTTCATACCATTTTATTATCATTTCATCACTGCAACCCTCCACACGCAACAGATCAACGCGCGCCGCTGCTACAAGTTTGGTGTTTTGTACTGCGCAGGCGGGCAGACGACGGAGGAGGAGATGTTTGCAAACAAGCACGGCTCGGCCGAGTTTGAGCGCTTCCTTGGTCTCATTGGCAAGCGCGTACCGCTTCAGGGGTTCACGGGTTTCAAGGGCGGCCTGGACACAGAGAGTACGTTCGTTGCACGCACGCGCATGTGAGGGGGGGAGGGAAGAGGGTTCGTGTATGTGTGTGACTGTTTGCTTGGTTGCACAATGCATGTCACATATGTGTCACTGTGTGTGTGTGTGTATGCTGGTTGGTTGGTTGATTGGTTGGTTGGTTGGTTTGGAATGTGCTTTGTTCCGGGGTCATGTTGTTTTGTGTGTGGTTGCATTGACACCACGTGCGTTTCGTACCTCATCACCATCACCATCCATCTGCAGACAACCAGACTGGAACGGAGAGCGTGTATTCGATCTACAAAGACGTTCTCATCATGATGCACGTGTCGACGCTTCTTCCATACCGTTCCGGCGACGAGCAGCAAATCCTCAGGAAACGACACATCGGTGCGCGCTCGTGTGTGTGTGTGTGCGTGTGCGTGTGTGTGTGTGTGCGTGTGTGTGTGTGTGTGTGTGTGTGTTAGTATTGTGTTAGTATTGTGTTAGTATTGTGTTAGTATTGCCACTTCACGCTCGTTGCTTGTATCAGTCATCTCTTGTCCACGAAAATTCAAGGTCTCACCAATCATCTCCCACTCTCACTCTCACTCTCACTCTCCTCTTTTGTTTCGGCCACGCCTTGAAATTGCCTGCAGGCAACGACATTGTTGTGTTTGTGTTTCTGGAGGATGACGCCGGTCCCGTTGATCTCACCTCGTTTGCGTCCAATTTCAACCACGTCTTCATCCTCATCAAGGTCTGCAAGCGTCGATCCACAGCTCTCTCTCTCTCTCTCTCTCTCTCTCTCTCTCTCTCTCTCTCTCTCTCTCTCTCTCTCTCTGTGTGTGTGTGTGTGTGTCCTTACATGCGTGCGCCCTGTTCCATTTCCACTAAACGTGGCGCATTTACTTTCCTTCTCCTCCCCTCACCCTTTTGCTCCCCCCTTTGGCCGTTTAGGTCGTGCATGCGAGCGAGACATCGCGCCACTACCGCGTGTCCATTGCGCGCAAAACGGATGTGTCACTGTTTGGGCCGGACCTTCCATCCGACGCCATCTTCACCTCCACAGATATTCGCAGAGGCATCTTCCACCGCTTCCTCCTCGAAAAGGGTGAGGGGAGAAAGGAGATGGTGTGTGTGTGTGTGCGTGTGCGTGTGCGTGTGCTGTTTGTGCGTGTACTTGCGTGTATGTGTGTGTGCGCGCGTGTGTGTTTGGGCTGTTGTATGAAGAATTGGTGATGGTGACATGTGCACGGGATTAGTATCACACATTTGTCTCGTGTCTTTCTCTCATAACGCTGTCTCTCGCCCTCGCGTTCTTACACACACGCACCAAACACTCCAGCCATCAATGCGGAGAACGCGTGCTACGCCTCTGGTCACTTTGCAAAGCTTGCGCGACGCACA